CTGGATCAGATTTCTGAGTGGCAACTCGTTGGTGTGGAGGTCACAAACAATCCAGACCAGCTTCCTCCCAATCTTCCGCTCTATCCACTGTATGGCCCCCCCTTGCCACCCTGTGTTCGTGTTGGTGCTGTCCCCTCCAATGGCCTGCAGGGTCTGGTCTACGTTCCTCTCTCTGAGCCAGTTCACAATGTTATCTGCCACTATCTCAGCTGGTTTCCTGATGTCATCTTTCTCTGGAGTGAAATGCCACAAATACTTCCCTCCTGGTTCACTGCAGCAGGAGTAGTGTAGTGTTCCTCCTTCACCATGGCAGGGAACACCTTGTCAGAATCTCCAACTTTCATGAACACTTTAGTGTCATCCCTTCTCCCATCAAAGAACAAACAATTGTTTCCATTTTCTCTTATCCCCTTATCAAACTCCTCTTCTAGGTTACTGACAAGTTTTTCCTGAGCTCTCCTTACTTTGTTATGATCTATCACCAGGTGAACATCATCAGGTGTTATCAAACCACCGTCAACCCAGGCAGCTGTTGCTATCTCTGCAGTTTCTCTGAGACCAGTGTGGTGTCGCATGCTGGCCAGAGCTATGCTCGGGATATCTTTCCTATTTCGAATCTTATGCCTGGAAGGTTTGGGATCATTATTTTCTGGGTTAAGGACAAAGTCACCATTCTCCTGGTCAGCACTCGCATCAACCATGGGGAAGTCATTAAACTCTGAATCAGCTTGACTCCAATCATCGGTCTTTTTTACCTCACCCTGGGCCTTCTCAAGTCTCTTTTCCTCGGCAACTCTTCTCCTCTTCTGTCTCTCTGTGGCAGCCTCCTGTCTCTTGGACTCCGGAATATCTTGGCTAGAAATAATGAGAGCCCCTATACTGCCAGTCTTCTCTCTCTGTGCTATGACAAATGCCAGTTCGATCACAGGAATCTTCAGTTCACGCTTGCAAATACAGGAGATGTGGGCCTCGGATTTACAGTCACGATCGCATCCAAACTCAGGACAGAGAACAATTGGGCACTTGCAAATAATTATGTCAAATAACTGGTCCAGTTGCTTGGCAAAGCTGTCCTTAACTGCAAGTTTTCCTCTCCCAAGAGAGATATCTCTTGCCTTTTCCCAACTGGCTAGCAGTCTCTCACTAATCTTCTTCTGACTTGTTATGACTGGAGGCTTGAACTGAGCGTTAGCCAGAGTGTACTGTGCCAAGACAGCTTTGGTCATATCACTGGCAATGTCTTTGTTTGTGTAAGTTCTTTGGTTCTTTTCACTGATTTGCCTGATTAAAACACCGTATCTCAAAGCATCTCTCAATGTAGGCAACTCCGACTCCAGGAGCTCTCTTCCAGACCCAAGATAGTGACTGAGATGGCTGGATTTTTGGTTCCTCGTCCTGACACAAGCAGCCATCGCAAATATTATCAACTTATAAATGCATCAGAATCTGAAACAGAAAAAAATATTGTTAGTTGGGTTGTTAAAGAATGAAGTCAGAAAGCAATGTTCACTATTTAATTGTAATGCACTAATGCAGCTGTACGTTAGATCTTCGATAAATTTCACGCTAAAATTTACCTAGCAAAAGGTTGCAAAATATTGAAACTGAAATTATTTTCTGTTTTTATACACTAAAATCTACCAAAAAAGTGATGGGCCATTAGTTTTAGCTGAACTTCCCTCCTATGACACACCCTACTGGGATAATGCCTCCTCAATATTACCTTGTAATTCAATTGATAGTAGGAACATCATAGAATCTAGTCTCATTAAACATACGGAAGCATTCAACATGAATTTGAGTAATGGCATGTACAAATTGGACAATTTTGTAATTAAGAAGATTTGTAACCAGGTGAGAAGGTTGGGTCACCTTACCCTCTGACCTGACTACCGACCGTCGCGGTGCTATTTAAAGATTAGTAGGGTCATTACCTAATACCTGACCATTGTGGACCTGGTCTCACCCTCCTCTGTGTATATACACCTTGTTTTGTACTTGTCTTTAGTCTGTACTCACCCCTGAAGATGTGAATTACACGAAAGTGCTTGGGAACTTCGCGTTTTCTTCTTTCCTTGTGGTTATCAGCATATACCTAGATCATGCGCACCTACAGTGATTTACTTGCATATATATATATATATATATATATATATATATATATATATATATATATATATATATATATATATATATATATATATATATATGAAATAATTGACACAATTATTCTGATATTGATTATGTTATTATAAAAAAGCATTTTCACATAATAGTTCATTATAGTCTGGTACTTATTTTACTCAGACTAATCGGGAGAGCAAAATATATAATCAAAATAGGAATACTGTTCAATTGCTTCACTAGGAGCAACATCAAAGTCAGATTGGCAGTTCTCTCATAACTATCCAAGTGATCAGGGATGGCTCGGACTGTCTGGATGTGCCTCAACAAACACCAGCAAAAACTTTAATGCACAGTTCACAGAGTATCACAACCCATAGCGCGACTAATTACATCGCAAATGGAGATCTGTTGATGACAGTCGGAAGACTGGAAGTGTTTACACGTCTCGTCTACTGTCACACGCTCTCTCCATCAACATGAAGCTTGTCATAGGCAAAAGGAGTTTCGAAAATGATAGGCACAAAAGGTTTTTTCTTCACGAGGATATCTACTGCCCCCGAGGCTCTAACCGTTCCTCGAGAGCTGTCGATTTTAGAGATATTTGGGGAGTTTTAGCAGCCACTGATCTGACGGACTCTTCGAAGCCAACTGAAGAATCAGCATCTCCGTGTGAGTCGTACTGATCTACTGACGTAGCAAGAGGCCGTGGCTCCTCAGATGTGACTGGGGAGAACTGTGGGGATCCTCGAGGTGGTTTGGGTGGGGTACTGACCTCTCTGTGAACTTTTTTCTTTTCTGGAGTTCCTGATGAGAGTTTAGAAGCCAAGATGGTTTTTGTTGGGGAATGGGACTCTGTTGAGAAAGTCAGAGGACAAGCTGTTGTTGCGGCCGCTCTTGGACAACAGGATGTTTCTGATCCAGATGTTGTCTCTAATGGCTGTATTTTCGACACACTGGAAGGTGACACATCGACATTGGAAAACAATTGAGCACATCGTTTTTCACTTTTACCCGCTCCAGATTTCGCTGGTATCCTCACGACAACTGGTGCCTGTAATCTTTCATCGTCGCTAAACGAAATTTGTTTACCCATCTCTATCGGCTCTTTTCGTCGCGTATGTGTCTTATTACCCGTGTTGCTTGTATGTTGTGTTTGGTTATCTTGGAAGGAATGGGAAGATCTTAGTAATGGCCGCGTTGTAGTATTAGTAAGTGGCCTCGGGATCGATTCAGGGAACTTTCCTACAAACCCCAACTTATCATTTCTCAGGGAAGGAGAAGTTCTATCAATCCCATCTGTAGAAAGATCAGGTTTTTCTCCAGAAAATCTAACGAATTTTTGCGTTGTTGAAGATGTTGGTAATGGGTGACTCGCCTTGGAGGGGGACGACAAAGTCCCCACCCCGGTAGGGTATTTTACTGATTGTAAATCATTTTCAGCACTAAATGAAGTTATCTGTTCATTCGAAATTGATGCCTGATAATTAACTTGAGAAAATAAAGGCTTCATTTCAGCCTGATTCTTTTGAGGTAAGCTACATGGGTTCACAGTCTCGGCAATGGTTAACTCTGTGAGCTGTGGTCCCCTGAAAGATGGCGGCGGTTGGAGTTCCACAAGTGGTAAAAGCGACTGCATCTCCCCACATGGTTGTGGAGGCTGCAGTTCCTTTAATGAAACTGATGGTTCTAATTCCAGGTAAGAGAGAGGCGATGGTAATGATTTCTGCTTGAGACAAGGCGGCCGAGGTTGGTGTCCTGTGATTGGCGGTGGAGGTTGGTGCTCTGAGCAAGGCGGCCGTTGATAGAGATCTGAAAATGATGACCTTTGTTGTAACTCTGCACACTGTTGCCGCTGTTGAGGCCCTGTACAGCAAGGCATTAGCAGAGGGTCTGAGCACTGTGGTCGTGCCTGCACCGCTGAGACAGACAGCCGTGGGTGTAGTTCACCACAGGGTATCTGCGTCTCTCGTAGTTGCTGTACTCCGCAAGACGGCCGTTGATGCAGCTCTGTGTGAGGTGTCTGTAGCTGCATTTCTAAGTAAGGCAGCTGAGGACAAATCTCTGCACATGGAGGCAGTGAAGGTAACTGCTGAGGAGACGTAGGCAGCTGGCTGAATGATGGCATTCCTTGTACATCCCAAGGAGATGAAGATGAAGAAGAGGGTAGGATCCGCAGTTCCTCTGTAGTCAGTGATTGCAGCGTTGCAGAAGATGGTAAAGGTAGTCTTATCTCCCCGGAGGAGGAGCTCAGAGGTGGCCAGGTACCCGTGGAAGGAACCATCCTCAACTCCGTACCAGAAAACGACAGATGCCGTAAATCTCCAGATGACAATAAGTGACGGAGGTCCCCGGAGAATATGAGCGGGTGTAACTCTTCAGCGGAGGACGTTAGGTGTCGCAGTTCCTCAGAAGACGCTGGCAGTGGACGTCTCGGATTCCTTGTGAAACATGGGACTCTTTGTATCACCCCGTTCGAGGACGCCACTACTTGTGATCTTTGGCAGGAATGTAATTGCAGATCTAATGATGAGGACGCAACGTGGCGGAGTTCTCTCTTGAGGGGTCGAGGGAGGGAGTGGGTGTATCTTCCAGCAGGTGGAAGGGCTGCCGCGGCTCGTCCTGCAGCCGTAAGGTCAGTGAAGGTGGAGTCAGAATCAGAATCTTCGGAATCGTCGCTGTCAGTATCGGGGAAAGGACTGTCCTGTGTAAAATACGAAATAATTAAAGCTTGTATTTTTATAAGGATATACTGACACTTATCAAACGCCAGGAAAAAAAAATATCAGTCTATAAACATAAAGACAATTTCGTAAAATTAAGAATACGAATAACATGACTTTTTCGAATTTTTTTGGCAAATTATTTGAGAGCGCCAGACATTCATCATATATTAGTTAAAGTTACCACAAACTACATCAACACCTGCAGCTTCTTACCTGTCTATGGAGACAAAACCCTCGAGTGATTGACGGGTGTTTGTTCCCATGTCTGTTTACATAAGCTCTCGTAACACTCTGTCCCTGTGCGTGTGTACGTATGACAGTTTGTTTGTGTGCATGTGACTTCGTGGACGTGGATTTCTGTGTAGTGGGCAGCACGTCGAGATTGTCAGCGTTGCGACGTAAAGAAGAAACAACATCAGGATCATATGTGTCGGAGTCCTGCCTGGTGGTCGGTGTCATGACCAGCGTGTGGACGTGAGTGGGCGGCTGGGCACGCCACGTGTACTTGGCGATGATCACGCCCGTCACCAGGATGATGAGTAGGACGCCACCCACGCCCACGATGGCTCCTAGCAGGGGCGGTACCCCCAACAACCCCCACTCAGAGTCTGAGGATCACAGTAAGTAATTAAACTTGTGTGTGTTATGCATCACGAGACGAGCCACAACTTCAGCACTCACAACATAATAGTAAACAAAAAAAAAGATAATTCAGTGTGCGTTGCATACAAATAAAGTCAATTATCGCTAAGATTGCCCACAAGTAAACCTTTTAACTAAAGTAACGCCATTAAGATTAAGATAATTTACATAAACAATCAACTCCAAGTAACCAAATTTTGATACAATTTTTTTTAGAGCTTAAGTTAATTGTACAGTTTGTATAAACATCATTCATAACACAGACAAATACACAGTCTATCACCATAACACAACCCGGAATTTATTTTACCAGGCGCCGCGTGCTGCTGGGCGCTCGCTGTGTGCACCTCGAATCGTATGACGTCAGACTTTCCGCGGGCGTTGTGGGCGGCCACCCTCAGTGTCACCCCCACGCCCGCCCGTAGTCCTGTCACCACCCACTCCGGAAACATGCTGGAATAAGTGACCAAGGATTTTACATGGCTTAAAGATGTAAATCAGTTACAGTTATTAAAAAGCCCAGATGGATTCATGTTAAACAAGTTTTGTAGAGTTCAGAAATTGTCACGAAATTTTTATGAAATTTAAATGTGATTATTATTATTATTATTATTATTATTATTATTATTATTTTTATTATTATTATTATTATTATTATTATTATTATCATTATTATCATTATTATCATTATTATTATTATTATTATTATTATCATTATTATTATTATTATTATTATTATTATCATTATTATTATTATTATTATTGTTATTATTATTATTATTATTATTATTATTATTATTGTTGTTGTTGTTGTTGTTGTTGTTGTTGTTGTTGTTGTTGTTGTTGTTGTTGTTGTTGTTGTTGTTATTATTATTATTATTAGTAGTAGTAGTAGTAGTAGAAGTTAAAACAAATTAAAATGCTTTACTCGAATCCAATTACTTTGGTTTAGAGAAAACGATAATATGCTGGATACAATAACATAAGGGGTAACTCTGTTGTATGTAAAATAAGTTGTGATAAAACGCGTAAGTGTAGCCGTCCAGCATCTGTGTTTGTTTGTTCGTGAGTCAACTTAAGGACTTCCACAGCATGTAGGATGGTGGTGGTTCTAAAGAGGAGCTGACAATAATAGGAGATTGTATTAACCACTTGTGTACGGGATCCACTCTGAGCTGAATGAAATTGTCTGGCGTTAACCAAATATAATATAAAAAGTGGCGTCTCCGTAACGAAAGGGTTATGAGGACTAAAGCGTATATCATACACCAGCTGGCTGCTAGTAGATACCGAGGTGGCCTAGTGGTTTTAACACTAGCGTCCTGACCCAATGGTCGCCGATATATTTCCGGTGGCCAGCTAGCAGAGTGGTGTGCCCCTAGTCCACCCAGCTGCATGACTACCTACCAAGTTGGGGCAGACTTAAAAAGTACCTTGTCTATAGGGCGGGCAAAAAACAATAAGACTCTGTATCAGTGCAATGAAAGATATCTGATCGAAGGTGCAGACGACGAGCCATTCAGTGCTCACCTAGACATATTGGCAGCGAGGCTACCATCTTGCCAAGTCTCCAGAGTGAAGTGCTGAGGAAGGCCGCCATCGAAGCCCTCTATACAGGTGATGGCCAGGGAAGCAGTGTGGGTGTGGATGTGGGTGGAGGAGTCTGCTGGAGCTACGGAGCAATTAGTGGGTGTGTCAGGCGGGCCAGCGGGCACAAGATTCACAACACAGGCCGCCCGCTGACGCCCCACAACATTTTCAGCAAGACAGAGAAACCTGCCGTAGTCGTCGGGCGTGTTGGGCGTGAGGAAGACGCTGGAGGTGAGGCCTTCACTCCTTACGTCCTCCTGTGGCACCTCCTCGTCGCTGCCGTCAGCCCGCTTCCTGATCCAGGTCCAGTTAAGATCGTGGTCAGGTTCCGCCTCCACAGTGCACTTGACGGCTGCAGTCGACCCCCGGGCGGCTCCCTGGGTCCTCTCTCGTTTATCCCCAGCACATATTGGTGAGTCTGAGGGCAAGGGGAGTCAAGATTACTACGGGATCTGTATTTAACAAAAAGACATTACACAAAATCACTCAGCATTACCAGGCTTGTGGTGCAAGCGGCAACTAACAAAATATTTATTGGTTACAATTAAGAAGATAGTGGTTAATAATCTACAGCTAAAACCCAAAGGTTGTTTTGAAGGCTGGGAAGAAGTTAAAGGTTCATCAGTCACAGTCAGCTTAAACCCTGGTAAATAAGATGATTGAGGTAAGTAAGACAAATCGGTTAAGATTAATGGTGTATGATAAATAGAGGAGAAAAGGTAAATAATCTAAGGTAAATAAAGTAAGTTACAGAGGATAAGGAAGGTAAATAATATAAGGAAATTAGAGTAAAACAAATCGAGTATGGTAAATAAGGTAAATGGGTTAAGGTTAATGGTGTTTGGTAAATAGGGTAAATAACTGTAAATAGTGTAAGGTAAATAAGGTATGCATGGAAAACACATTATGGTAAGAAGAAATATAAACGATCCTGTCAGACTCGTGCTTCAGGTAATGTGAATGAGGCAGCAGAGAGAGTCTTATAAGGATAGATGACCAGGCAAGTCTACAACACTCTGACCCAACTGGATAGAGATCAATAAGTGGTATAAGGACGTACGTAGAGAGAGAAATGAAGAGCTATATATATATATATATATATATATATATATATATATATATATATATATATATATATATATATATATATATATATATATATATATATATGTGTGTGTGTGTGTGCATGTGTGTGTGTTTGTGTGTGTGTGTGCACCTTTCAGTTAATCTTTAATTTATCCCTGAACCACCCGGTCTTGTTGAAGGTATTTGCAAGCATTATACTCATACGTAAAACACTCCACATCCTCACACACACACACACACTCAGAAAACAATATTTGGTAAATAGATAAAAACCAAGAACAGATATCATTAATGTCTATATAAAGAGCAAAATTATAAATTAACTTGTAATCGTGAGTCAGATGGAAGTATTGATAAGTTTACTCTACCATGCGCCGACCCCCTTGCCATGCGGTTAACAAGAGTAAAATAAATAAAAAATAAAAATAAAATCCAAAACTCTTGACCAAATTTCAGTTGCTCGCTCAAGAGAGAAGACAAATACATGAGGCAACCTCTAAGTAACACCCACCCCCCTTCCTTAGCTCCTATCCTCGGCTAATGTCCTTTAGGCGGCACCTGGGTGGCCGAGTATCAGGGGGTAGTGAGGTAAGTGTGACTCAAAAGTAAATAAGGGGCAGACAGTCAAAGAAAACGAGAATTCCGGAGGATGCACTTGCCTTACTCGGGACACATTTTAGACGGAGAGAGTTAAAGAGGTGGGCGTCACTGACTTTCTTCATTCTCTTTCTCTTTGACTCATACCCAACTTTCTCCACTCCTTATGGAACTCCAAGTTAGGGCCACCAACTTCTTATTTTTGATATGAAGAAGTTTTTCCCTGTACTGAGACGCGGCTAGAACTTTAGGAAAGAGTGTGTGTGTGTGTGTGTGTGTGTGTGAGTGTGTGTGTGAACATTTTATTTATATTCTGGAGATTGAAAGTTCATTTAACTTCACTAATACTTTTAACTTTAGAGGGATGTGTATTTTTGGCGATCAATCAATATGTGTGATTAAAGATAATTTTTAAGTGTAAGTTTTATATATATATATATATATATATATATATATATATATATATATATATATATATATATATATATATATATATATATATATGTATATTTCTGTGATAAAATCTTGATAAAATCACACGGGAAAATGGAAACAACGGAGTACCTTAGCTTTCGTCTTTATTCAAGACATCTTCAGAGGCAACTGGATTACATGGACAGAGAGAGGCTTAAATATACAGGGTGACCTAAAAACATGAGGTCAGGTCATAATGATGACATCCACTAATCCCCACACCAACACAACCGTAGAGGAGCTTAAGAGAAGGGTGGTGACGTGACTAGACAGGTCAGGTCAGAAAAAAGGGACCCACAAAATAACTGTCATACATCAAGATCAAAGGTTTTCAAAGCATTTTTAACCTTGGGCCACTGACAAGTAAATTTATGTAACATATTATCAGTTTTGAACTGACCATCACTAAGGTTTATTGATTTTAATTCCTTAATCAAACTAGCTTCAACCAGAAGTCTTTCTGTGACACAAGATGATTTGAATACTTCTAAGCTTTTTTCCCAAGCAATGGGGTGATTATTGTTCCTAACATGAACGAACAAGGCACTGCTTTCAGATGCAGTTCTGATATTATACTTATGTTGTTTGATTCTGAGCTGCAGTGTTTTTCCTGTCTGACCTACATAATTACAATTACATTTGCTACATGGAATACAATAAACTCTTCCATTTACATTCAAACTTGGGCTATTCCTTATTAACATATTGGTAATGGTTGAGTCATACTTGAAAACAACATTAATATTTAGAAGCTTGAGGGACCGAACTAACGGGACAAATTCATCACGATAGGGCAGAGTCAAAATATTCTTAAGTGTAGGAACTTGTCTGGTTAGAGAGGAATGAAAGGATTTTTTAGCCCTTTTAAAGCAACGATCAACAAACACAGAAGGGTACCCAAGTTTCTGTGCAATAGAACGAATGTGTTTCAATTCATCGTCAATAAATTCAGAGTCACAAATACGCAGACATCGTAGGAACATAGCAGAAAAAACTGACATTTTGGTAGACTCAAGGTGATTGGATAAAAAGTGAATGAAACTGTCTACCTGTGTGGGCTTTCTATATACCTTAAATTTATAGTTTTGGCCATTTCTCATGATAAGCATATCAAGAAATGAAAGGGATTCACTTATTTCTCTTTCAATTTTGAATGTGATACTAGGGACAATATTATTAAGCTTGTCTAAAAATTCCAATGGGTCACTGTTTTTAGGCCAAAGACAAAGAACATCATCTACATATCTATACCAAGGAGGAATACAGTTGCCTCTGAAGATGTCTTGAATAAAGACGAAAGCTAAGGTACTCCGTTGTTTCCATTTTCCCGTGTGATTTTATCAAGATATATATATATATATATATATATATATATATATATATATATATATATATATATATATATATATATATATATATATATATATATATATATATATATATATACAAAATGCAGAAATATTATATCTGTGTGTATGTGTGTGTGTATGTGTTTAATTTTCTATAAATGTACAGTACAATATATATTCCAACCTGTTTCTTATACTTACGTATCTCTCACCTGCACACAATTATCGTTTTTGCTAAACGTTACCTCACAACTTTCTGTCTTCACTATCATTATTCTTTATGTTTCGGTTGGTTTTGTAGTTACTTTCCGATCTTTTGTTTTTGTAATTCTTTCTAATTAATTCTATTTCCGGTAAATTCATATATTAAGAGACATATACAATCACTCAAAAACGATCTATACAAAATTGTGTTGAAAAAATATAACACATGAGACGAAGGATTTTGACAACCCTACCGAGACAACAGGAGTTGTAGTGTTTATTCTGAAATTCATCGACCTAGAAATGGTAGTTTTTTGAGTGACTGTACCTTAACCTTCACTAACCAAGTCACACTCAGTGGAGATAGTATACTTACCCCTTGTGTATGGTGTCTCCTCTGTGCTGAATAGAACCATCTGGGGTTAACCAAAATATATTAAAAGTGGCGTCCCCGTTTGTGAAGATGTTAACATCTTATATGAACTTAACTGCGGAATTTATTTATGTTTTAGCCATAATTTGTTCTGACGATGACAGGTATATCAAATACTTTATTACACACTGCGATTATTGTTGACAAGAAGACCACTTGAAGATTGGGCACCCTATCTTGTTTTATCTGATGATTAAATTCTTTAACGCTAAGGCTAACCTAACCTAACCTAACCTAACTTAACCTAACGTAATCCCCCAAGTAGCGATAGGGTGTTTATCAGGTGATCTGACAGGATTATTTTTGCTTATGCTTATGCTCTCTCTCTCTCTCTCTCTCTCTCTCTCTCTCTCTCTGTGTGTGTTATTTAGATCTGATGGTAAGGGTAAATCAAAAAGATAATTGTCATTGCTGGACAACATACGTGTCAACTTTCATTATTTGCCAAATTAAAGAAAGAATTAGAGACAAAGAGGGAGAGAGACTTATACACTATATATAGAGAGCGAGCGAGAGAATACCTGACAAACGTAACTGAAAAATCTGCTTCAGTCCCCCAACTCAGGAAAGAAAACTGACGTGCAAGAACAGATACAGAGACGCGTCTAGAGTGAAAGTCAGAGAGGCATAAGAGATAAAAGGAGACTCGCGTTTGGAGACAATGAGAGACTCTGTGACACTATGAGACTCACATCTGAAGACTATGAAATATTATGATATGAAACCGTAAGCTATTGGAGACTGTTGGAGACTATGAGAGACTATTGGAGACCTCTGGGGACTATGACAGACTACTGGAGATTATAATTGTAGAAATGTTAGGAACATTATTATATACGTTGCGCAGAACGTAGTTTTAAACAATAATCATCAGATACACTGGGCGTATTTGACATGTTTGTTGTTTGAATAGCTGTGTCTGGGACAACAATGTCTGGGATATCATTATCATTCCTGGGGAATGAATCTGAATGGACCTTTTTAAGTCTTTCCGCATGAACAGCGGCTAAAATTTTTGTGAGTTTTTGTTGCACGCTTCTTTTAGCAATAATGCGGAATGGTCCGTCAAACTCGGGTGAAAGCTTGGACTTTCGTTCTGGTTCTCGCACCATAACAGCATCGCCTATTTCTAGCATGACAGGATTAGCTTGTTTATGTTGCTTGTATATCATTTCAGCGCGTGACGCTGCTAAATGTTTAAGTACTTGGCCATGAATATCCGTGAATACGTTGATTTGTCTGGTAGCGAAATCGTCCACATTATAGACTGGGCAT